TTGACACCTCTATACATGGTCATTTTTAATACCAAAAACATAAACAAGAGATAGATGAGTTTCTAAATGTATTTCTGTTTACACTATTTTCTTGACAATGTTATTTTTTTCATAAAAGGTGACTTCTACTTGATCAAGATCTAAACTATGAAGCAGACCTCTTCCAAAGGAAACGCACAGACTGCTGCTGATACAGCCTGTAGAAACATATCCATTAAATTATCTGAGCAGCAAAAGGAAACAAGCCAAATTAATTTTCTCCAGCTATTCCCACTAGAAGTCAGCTTAAAGATTTTTAGCGAACTTGACATCCAGAGTTTATGCAGTGCTTCAATGACATGTAGGAGCTGGAACCAGATCATTGAGAACTGTGACAATTTATGGAAACATCATTGCTTAAATGCCAGGACTGTCTGTCAGAGAGAGATTGACGGTGACAGAGGAAACGGGTATTCATGGAAGGTATGTGAATTGAGGTGGCCTCTCCCACCATCACCTTGAGTCTAGTGCACAGTACTACTCAGATTGGTAGCCACCGGGCCAGTGATCTAAAGCAGTTGCCGCAAGTAGTTATGCTGTCAGTGGAACATAGAATCTTCTCTAGACTTTGTCTGAACTCTGGAGAAACTACCCAAGGTGCTGTACTTTTTTTGCCTGATCAGCACCTTGGATAGGTCCTTTAGTTTGAGCTGAAACCTGCCACAGATGAATCTCCACTGATTTCAATAAATATTTCTATTTCACAAGAAACTTTATCACACAGAGACCTGCATTTTAGCTTTTTAGAAGTGACACTGGAGAAAGAATATCTGTACAAAACTTCTAAAAGTGAGAAAAGAATCATAGCATAATAGAGTTGGAAGAGATCACATAAGGCCATCTAGTCCAATCCCCTGCCATGCAGAAAAAGCACAATTAAAGCACCCCTGACAGATGTTTAAAAGTTTCCAAGGAAGGAGCTTCCACCACACTCTGAGGCAGAGAGTTCCCCTGCTGAACAGCTCTTACAATCAGGACATTCTTCCTAATGTTCAGGTGGAATCTCCTTTTCTATAATTTGAACCCATTGCTCCTAGTCCTATTTTCTCTCTTCCTTATGACGCCCTCTCAGATATTTAAAAATGGCTATTATGTCTCCTCTCAACCTGCTCTTCTGCAGGGTAAACATATCCAGCTTTTTAAGCTCTCCTCATAGAGCATGGTCTCCAGGGCTTTGATAACTAATTGCCCTCATCTGGACAAGTTCCAGCTTGTCAATATCTCTTCAAACTGTGGTGCCCAGAATTGGACAGTTCTCCAGGTGAGATCTAACCAAAGCAGAATTGAGAGGCACCATGACTTCCCTCGATCTAGGCACTATACTCATTTTGATGCAGCCCAAAATTCAATTGGCTTTTTTAGTTGCTGCATCACACTATTGGCTCATGTTCAACTAGTTGTTCATGAAGATAACATGGGCACCACAATTGAAGAGAGATATTGACAAGCTGGAATGTGTCCAGAGGAGGGTGACTAAAATGATCAAGGTTCTGGAGAACAAGCCCTATGAGGAGCGGCTTAAGGAGCTGGGCATGTTTAGCCTGAAGAAGAGAAGGCTGAGAGGAGATATGATAGCCATGTATAAATATGTGAGAGGAAGCCACAGGGAGGAGGGAGCAAGCCTGTTTTCTGCTTCCCTGGAGACTAGGACACGGAACAATGGCTTCAAACTACAAGAGAGGAGATTCCATCTGAACATGAGGAAGAACTTCCTGACTGTGAGAGCTGTTCAGCAGTGGACTCTGCCCCAGAGTGTGGTGGAGGCTCCTTCTTTGGAAGCTTTTAAACAGAGGCTGGATGGACATCTGTCAGAGGTGCTTTGAATGCAATATTCCTACTTCTTGGCAGGGGGTTGGACTGGATGGCCCATGAGTCTCTTCCAACTGTATGATTCTATGTACAGTTGTCGAATCAGGCATCACCCATCCTGTATCTGTGCATTTCATTTTTTCTGCATAAGTGAAGTATCCTACACTTCTCTTTGTTGAAATTCATTTTGTTAGTTTTGGCCCAGCTCTCTAATCTGTTAAGGTCATTTTTAATTCTGATCCTGTTCTCTGGAGTATTAGCTATCCCTCCTAGTTTGGTGTCATCTGCACACTTGATAAGCACGCCCTCTATACCTTCATCCAAGTCATTAATGAAGACATTGTAAAGTTCTGGGGCAAAGACCAATCCCTGTAGCACTTTGCTAGTCACTTCATTCCTGGATGAAATGGAACCATTGGTGAGCACCCTTTGGATTCAGTTGATTAACCAATTACCAATACACTTAGGAGTAGCATTGGCTACCCACATTTGATTAAGTTTGCTTGCAAGAAGATCATGAGAGACTTTGCCAAAAGCTTTACTGAAATCAGGATGTGCTGCATTCACAGTGTTTCCTGCATCTACCAAGCTTATAACTCTATCAAGAGAGAGAGAAAGATATGAGTCTGGCATGAATTGTTTTTGACTTTTAGTAATCAGCATTCTTTTCTAAGAGATATTCTAGATCTGATCATCATATGTTAAATGTGATCATCTTACTCAAAGAAGTGTTGGCTATCTGTAGCCTTTAAATTACAACTCTGAAAATCCCTTTCCATCAGCCATACATCAAAATATTTATAGAGGGGCAATAGTTTCCTATCTCTGACCTAAACTAAGCTTAGGAGCAATATCAATTACTCCAGAAAATATTTGCAACCCAGTGATTCCGACCATGAAAGCCTTCAACAATACATTGAACATCTCTATAGGGAGAAAGTTGGATATATGTCTAATATTGTATTATTTAAGCTGCAAAAAACATTTACCTTTGTGATTTATGTACTACGACTTGTAGTGGATTTGTGTTTGTTGTGATTTTGGGAATGCATTGTCTTTTGTGAGAAAGTGTTCCAAGACACACGAAAATTGGAATGCTTCTGGAACATAGACATATAGCCTGAAAAACTTGCAGTAACCCACATATTTCTTTCTTTGTCCAAGTGTTGGAAGCCTGACTGTTTTGGTGGGAAGCATTGAAGTCTGCCCCAGTCCTCTGAATTCTCTCATGAGATCCAGGGTGTAAACCATAGCTGCTTCTTTTTGTTTGATTTGCTCAGTGTTGCAGCTTCTGAGAACAGTAAACAAAATTGAACTAGCCAACAGTATTCGGCATGACTTACAAGACACGATAGGCTCAAGCTGCCTCTTAGAAAGAAACAGTTCAACTGTGTAACCACGTAGTTGCAACTGTTCTAACTGTTGTTGTAACCACTTTTGAAAAAAAAATGAAACCTGACTCCATGTAACAATTACACATGTAGACACTATAGTATGGATACTGTTTCTCTTCGCATAGCTAGTCTACAATAGCCAAACATGAGTTCATAATAAGACTTTGACTTTTTTTCCCCTCAGCAAAACAGGTTTTACAAGAGGTAGTCTCAGGGTGAACCTACACTGACATATAATTCATTTGGATTATATAGTGAGTGTAGACCAATATAATGCAGTTCGATGCAGTTAAACTATATTATATGGGTCTAGTTCAGTGATAGCAAACCTTTTAGAGACTGAGAGCCCAAACTGTAACCCAAAACCCACTTACCGTATATACTCAAGTATAAGCCGGCCCGAATATAAGCTGAGGCACCTAATTTTACCAGAAAAAAACTGGAAAAACTTATTGACTCGAGTATAAGCCGAGGGTGGGAAATGCAGCAGCTACATGTCAATTTCAAAATAAAAATAGATACCAATAAAATTACATTAACTGTCACATCAGTAGATTAAATGTTTTTGAGGGATTACATAAAACTGTAAGATAAGACAGTCCAACTCTGATTAAACCATTATTCTAACCTTCTTCAATGTAAATGTGCTTACATATCCTTCCAATAATAATGAGAGTAAAATAATAAATGTAATAATAATAATAATAATAATAATAATAATAATAATAATAGAGTAAAATAATGGAAATATAATAACAGTAATAATAGAGGTAAATAATAAATAATAAATGTAATAATAATAAATATAGTAAAATAATAAATACAATAATAATAACAATAATAAAGGAAAATAATAAATGTAAGAATAATAACAGAGTAAAATAATAAATAACCTTGACTCGAGTATATTTTTAGGAGCGCAGGTGGCTAAATATCCTTTGACCAAAAATGGGCAACAGCAATGGCGTTGTCTATAGCCTCCAACAACTCTTCCTCTGTACATGAGTTTATCAACAGGTGTAGGTTTAAAACATCCTGTGATTATTCTGCGTGTTTCATTCAATGCTATGTTCACCTGCTTTGCATGGGCAGATGAATGGAAGCATCAGGTTAAATATTTATCAATATTTACATAGAACTGTAAGATAAGACTGTCCAACTCTGACTAAACCATTATTCTAACCTTCTTCAATGTACATATGTTTACGTATCCTTCCAATAATAATAGAGTAAAATTATAAATGTAATAATAATAAAAATAATAAAGTTAACCTGACATGCAATAATAATAATAATAATAATAATAATAATAATAATAATAATAGAGTAAAATAATAAATAGCCTTGATTCGAGTATAAGCCAAGGGGAGCTTTTTCAGCCTAAAAAAGGGCTGAAAACTAGGCTTATACTCAAGTATATACAGTATTTATCATGAAGTGTCAACATGGTAATTTAACCTGAATACTGCTGCTGTGATGATGATGATGATGATGATGATGATGATTATGATGATTATTACTACTACTACTACTACTACTACTACTACTACAGAGGCTGGACAGCCATGTGTTTGGGTGTATTGATTGTTCTTTTCCTGCATGGTGGAAAGAGGGTGGACTGTGTGGACTCTGGGGTTGCTGACATTTATCATCATCATCAGTCTCTTCCAACTATGAGATTGTGCTTTTCTGGCATACAGAAGGGGGTTAGACTGAATGACCCCTTGGGATCCCAAGCCAATAAGAGCTTGGGATCCCAAGGTGAAGGCAGAGGCAGGAGTTAGAGGGTATATCTCTACACTGTAGAATGAATGTTGTTTGACACTACTTTCACCACTTTCTTCCTCTGCGCTTCCTGTGGTTTAGTCTAAACTGACCAAATAATGCATTACGTGGCAGTATAGATACACTTTCAGTCGAGACAAGGCTAGTGGCAGCAGTAGCAGTGGGCTGTTTTATCCATTCAGGTTTTTAGTGTGAATATTAAAGAAGCTATTCAAGGCGCAGAACCCAAACACCCAGATCCAGGTTTAGCACCTTGGACTAATCCTTTTAAAGTTTTGAGCAATAGTCCAAGTACATTCACCATCCAATTGAAACTGGAGCCACCATCTGTCATTGCAGTCTAATCCATAGTGTTTCACTCAGTTTTTACCTAAAATACTTTTTAATTGGCAATAGGAACTTATGATCCACTGGTTGTTCTGTTCAGATGTTGCATAGTTTTACAACTAAATATGAACAATGACTTTAAACATGAAAAATGTGCTTTTAGAAGATTTGTAGTGGACAACTGTTGGAAATAGAGTATGGTGTTTTTGTTTGTTTGTCTGCTTGGTTTTAAATTACTTTAGCTTTAAAATAAAACACATTGCATACAGTACTCAGGCCCCATCTACACGGTCATATAATGCAGTTTTGAAACTGCACTATATGACCATTGTACACTGCATTGAACTGTATTATGAGTCTATACTTACCATTTAGTGCAGTTTTAACCTGATACTAAAGAATGTGATTTCACTGTTCAGATGATCACATAGGAAATCCTGGAACCAGTATGAGGCCTGGATGGTGATGGAACATTAAGGAATAGCTTTAATTTGGTTTTTTGCAAGTTTGTTGTCTGACCACTGCAGTTTAAAGCTAGCTTTGAACTGCATTAAATGTTCAGTGTAGATAGGGCCTCAGACATGAGAGAAGTGCTTGTCAACTTTTGGTCCTTCAGATGTTATGGAGTTTGGTTCTGAGAATCCACCATCTTTACCCATGCTGGTGGAGGCTTCTAGGAGTTGAAGTTTATGCAGAAATCCAAATTGGGGAGCCATACAGTAACAGAGAACCAATTCTAGCCTCAAAAACTTGGGAGCTGAAGCTGAAAACAGCTAGAGGATCAAAGGCTGAGAAGCCTGGCCTAGAGCTTTGGTTTTCCATCATCCACTAGTGGGCAGTAATGCACTGTGTTTCTAGGAATCCATTCTGAATGCTAAAGGTAGGCGTAAACAAAGTGTCCTCCCAGATGTTATTGAACTGCAGTTCCCATTGCCTAACCCAGTGGTTCTCAACCTGTGGGTCCCCAGGTGTTTTGGCCTACAACGCCCAGAAATCACAGCGAGTTTACCACTGGAGTGGTGAGGAATCACTGGAATGGTGAGGAATGAAAGGAGTGCAACATCATTTGAAGGGTCATATTTGCCTATCAAATACCCACCAAGCTCGAAGGCAGTGTTTCTCAACCTGGGGGTCAGGATCCCAGAGGGGGTTGCGAAGGGGTGTCAGAGGGGTCGCCAAAGACCATCATAAAACACAGTATTTTCTGTTGGTCATGGGGGTTCTGTGTGGAAGTTTGGCCCAATTCTATCATTGGTGAGTTCAGAACGCTCCTTGATTGTAGGTGAACTATAAATCCCAGTATCTACAACTCCCAAATGTCTATTTTCCCCAAACCCCATCAGTGTTCACATTTGGGCATATTGAGTATCCGTGCCAAGTTTGGTCCAGATCCATCATTGTTTGAGCCCACAGTGCTCTCTGGATGTAGGCAAACTACAACTCCCAAACTCAAGGTCAATGCCCACCAAACCCTTCCAGTATTTTCTGTTGATCATGGGAATTCTGTGTGCCAACTTTGGTTCAATTCCATTGTTGGTGGGGTTCAGAATGCTCTTTGTTTACATGTTAACTATAAATCCCAGCAACTACAACTCCCAAATCAATCCACCCGCCAACCCCACCAGTATTCAAATTTGGGCATACTGGGTATTTATGCCAAATTTGCTCCAGTGAATGAAAATACATCCTGCAGATCATTATTTACATGGCGATGTTAGGGTTATGGTTGGGGGTCACCACAACATGAGGAACTGTATTAAGGGGTCGCGGCATTAGGAAGGTTGAGAACCACTGCTCTAAGGACTAAATCTAATGTCTAAATTCAGTTGAAGTAAAACAGTTGAATTAGTGGAATTTACGTAAGAGTTGACACAATATTTCACATTTGTTTTAATGGGTCTCTTTATCTGAAACCAGCAACTGCACTTAGGCCTAATACTTTTTTCTGGACCAGGTAAACCAGTTTTCATGTGCACGATGTGCAATGTAAATATTCAGCCTACATTAAAAAATATTAATTTTACTTCCCAACCACAGTATTTTAATCATGTAACATACGAAAGGTTCAATGTATTGTCGAAGGCTTTCATGGCTGGAATAACTGGGTTTTGTAGGTTTTTTCAGGCTATATGGCCATGTTCCAGAGGCATTTTTTCCTGACGTTTCACGTGCATCTATGGCAAGCATCCTCAGAGGTAGTGATGTCTATTGGAACTAGGAAAGTGGGTTTATATATCTTTGGAATGACCAGGGTGGGGCAAAGAACTCTTGTCTGTTGGAGCTAGGTGTGAATGTTTCAACTGACCACCTTGATTAGCATTTGATGGCCTGGCATTGCCTGGGGCAATTTTTGTTGAGAGGTGATTAGATGTGCCTGATTGTTTCCCCTCTGTTGTTTTGCTCTTGTAATTTTAGAGTTTTTTTTAATACTGGGAGCCAGATTTTGTTCATTTTCATGGTTTCCTCCTTTCTGTTAAAATTGTCCACATGCTTGTGGATTTCAATGGCTTCTCTGTGTAGTCTGACATGGTGGTTGTGAGAGTGGTCCAGCATTTCTGTGTTCTCAAATCATATGCTGTGTCCAGGTTGGTTCATCAGGTGCTCTGCTATGGCTGACTTCTCTGGTTGAAGTAGTCTGCAGTGCCTTTCATGTTCCTTGATTCGTGTTTGGGCAATGCTGCATTTGGTGGTCCCTATGTAGACTTGTCCACAGCTGCATGGTATACAATAGACTCCTGCAGAGGTGAGAGGATCCCTCTTGTCCTTTGCTGAACGTAGCATTTGTTGGATTTTCTTGGTGGGTCTGTAGATAGTTTGTATGTTGTGTTTCCTCATCAGCTTTCCTATACGAAAGGTTCGTATGCATAACTTTGATGCAGGTAGCTTATGAATGGGAAAAAAACAAGTTCAGTGTTTAAAATAATACGTTGTTTTAAATGTCACTATTGGAATTATTATTTGCAGTATTTATATTCTGCCCTTCTCACCCGCAGGGGACTCAGGGCGGATTACAATGTACATATACATGGCAAACATTCAATGCCATAGACACACAACATACATAGACAGACACACAGAGGCTATTTAACATTCCAGCTTTTTCATGATGGTATTCTGGCCACCAGGGGAGCTGTCACTTCACCGTCCATTTGTGACACTGATTAAGTACTTCCTCATTCTTTGCATGCCTGCTGGAGATTTTTATGGCATCGTAAATTAGCCAAATAACCAAAGCATGGTGATAGTTTTAATTAGATAATTCTGACTTACCATGTTAATATTCTTCTTGCTCTCATGTCTCCCCTCTTCTCTTTCTTCCCCATTTACAATAACCAGGTCACACTGCTAAGAAACTATTGGAAAAGCAAAGTAAAGTACGATTGGCTGACTGGGAAATACAGCAATATTCATTCCCGCAGTGGTTTGCCTGAAAAAAGCATGTATCCTATGGATGTTGATACTTGGGGAGAAATCCTGGAAGCTGAACTAGAAAGAAAAGTGGCTCAAATAAGAGTCTTTCACCGAAGGAACTAGAGATAATTCTCACCTGTAAAAATATTGTCCTATATATGTGTGTGTTTGTTTTTTTTTAATGTTATTTGGGGCAGCTTGACATATTGTTGTTTTGCACTTACTAAACTGCCAGGATGTTATTGCCTTTTATGAAGCTTGAAACAGTGTGTGTAGGTATATGTCAGTATGCATGCATGAATCTCACAGGGAGCACTTTGCAATTATTGCTGACTACTTTTTAAAGACTATTTTCTTTCTTTTTGATATGTTATGGGAAGAAGTTTTAAGAAAAGCTTTGAATAGCATAGCCAGCATGTGTGTGTGTGTTTCTCAAAAGGTGCTCCTCCGGGTGTTTTATTTATTTTATTTTTATTTATTTTGAGTATTTTTATCCCACTCTTCTCAACTCCCTGGGGGGAGTCAGAAACAATAATTATATATAGTTAAAAACATTAAGTCAATACAATTAAAATCTACTAAAATATACCAGTCTGATGGCCATTATCCAGCCGAATTCTGTAGTTGGAGACTCATCAAGCTTGTCCATAGTCTATTACTATAGCAATTGTTGTCATAATCATTATCATAGTCTGTATAGTTACCCAAAGGCCTGGTCCCACATCCACATTTTTAACTTCTTTCTAAAGGTGAGGAGGGATGAAGACAGTCTAATTTTCCCAGGGAGTGAATTCCACAGGCAAGGGGCCATGACTGAGAAGGCCTTGTCCCTCATCCCCGTCAAGCGCATTTGTGATAGAGACAGGGCCGAGAGCAGGGCCTCCCCAGGAGATCTTAAGCTTTTGGACTTCAGCTCCCAGAAATCCCAGCCAGCTGTTAGGAATTGTGGGAGCAGAGCTCCAAAACATCTGGAGGAGCAGAGTTTGAGAAACACTGGTATAAAGCATTAATAATTAATTCATGAGAAGGCTTTTAGCATAGAATTTGGAATGACAGAGAAATAAAGAATTCACTGTTTCCCTCTAATATTTCCTCAGTGTATTTTTCAAAAGCATACATCTGCTCATATTTACGTAATCATATTTACGTAATCATATTTATTTTGCAAGGATCCAGTGCAGTGGTTCTGTTAGTAGAACTGCTTCCATCAGCAGAAACAGGGGATGGATGACTTCCCACCAAGCAACTGCTTTGTAGTCCCCTATGCAAAATAAGTTTGGGAAACAGAGAAAATGAGAAAGAGCTCTTTCATGCTGATATACCTCTTCTATCATGACCTTGGAGGCAGGCGATAGTTTCAAGACTGTAGATAAACAATGAATTCATTAACTTGGAAATAATTCCAATTATTATTTCTTTTGGAAAGGCACGACCTTTTTAGAGATCTTGTTGTTGTTCATTCGTTCAGTCACCTCCGACTCTTCGTGACCTCATGGACCAGCCCACGCCAGAGCTCCCTGTCGGCCGTCACTACCCCCAGCTCCTTCAAGGTCAGTCCAGTCACTTCAAGGATGCCATCCATCCATCTTGCCCTTGGTCGGCCCCTCTTCCTTTTGCCTTCCACTTTCCCCAGCATAATTGTCTTCTCTAGGCTTTGCTGTCTCCTCATGATGTGGCCAAAGTACAACTTTGTCTCTAGTATCCTTCCCTCCAGTGAGCAGTCGGGCTTTATTTCCTGGAGGATGGACTGGTTGGATCTTCTCGCAGTCCAAGGCACTCTCAGAACTTTCCTCCAACACCACAGTCAAAAGCATCTATCTTCCTTCGCTCAGCCTTCCCTAAGGTACAGCTCTCACATCCGTAGGTTACTACAGGGAATACCATGGCTTTGACTATGCGGATCTTTGTTGCCAGTGTGCTGTCTCTACTCTTTACTATTTTATCGAGATTGGACATTGCTCTCCTCCCAAGAAGTAAGCGTCTTCTGATTTCCTGGCCACAGTCTGCATCTGCAGTAATCTTTGCACCTAGAAATACAAAGTCTGTCACGGCCTCCACGTTTTCTTCCTCTATTTTCCAGTTGTCAATCATTCTTGTTGCCATAATCTTGGTTTTTTTTATTTAGCTGCAACCCGGCTTTTGCGCTTTCTTCTTTCACCTTGATTAGAAGGCTCCTCAGCTCCTCCTCGCTTTCGGCCATCAGAGTGGTGTCATCTGCATATCTGACGTTGTTAATGTTTCTTCCAGCAGTTTTCACCCCAGCTTTGCATTCATCGCATTATGTGTTCTGCATACAAGTTAAAAAGGTTGGGTGAGAGGATGCAGCCTTGCCGTACGCCTTTCCCAATCTTGAACCAGTCTGTTGTTCTGTGGTCAGTTCTGACTGTTGCTACTTGGTCCTTGTACAGATTCCTCAGGAGAGAGACAAGGTGGCTTAGTATGCCCATCCCACCAAGAACTTTAGAGATCTTAACCTTTGGGAAATCTGGAATTTCCATAATTTTTGGAGAAAAATGGCATTCACAACCATTTTAAAATCATAACCTTTTGTAAAAGTATGATCTTCCAGAGAAGAGCCAAAAACTCATTTGAGTAAAATCTTCTCTTCAGTGGTATATATCCACATGTACTTATGCAAGGCAATTTGGTTTTCAGCTGTTAGGCTGATAACCCAGTAGTCAGGAACACATTTTATGGAAATGGGCAAAAACAGCCATTCTTTAGAAGTGTTCTTTTCAGTGCCCAAAATCATACTCTCCCATAAACATCTTGTTTCTATGCATGCTCTCAAGAGACAAAATAAGTAGACTTTGTTAAAAATAACATATCGGGTTTACTCACACATTTAATGTATTCAGCATACAGGTACATTACTTGTCAATCCAGTTACAGATAGGTTTGAAGTAGTTTCTGTGTGCAGATAACACAGGCATCTTTCTTATAATCAAAAACAACATGAGTTTGCTCTTAACAGTCCAAAGTCTACATGGCATTGGATGGAGTCTGTGCTCTAATCAGTCTGAGCTTCAAGCAGTCCCATGGCTAAAGCATTTTCTTGTGTTCTAAAATGGACTCTCAGATCTCAGCAGTTCCAGATCTGATCGTGTGGTTTGCAGCCCCTCCCACAACCTCAAGAAACCTCAAGAGTAAAGGGAAAGCTGCATACCAAAGCATACATACACAATACAGTAAGCAAACAGAATCATATACCATGCAGCTGTGAACAAGTCTACATAGGGACCACCAAACGCAGCATTGCCCAAACACGAATCAAGGAACATGAAAGGCACTGCAGACTACTTCAACCAGAGAAATTAGCCATAGCAGAGCACCTGATGAACCAACCTGGACACAGCATTTTATTTGAGAACACAGAAATGCTGGACCACTCTCACAACCACCATGTCAGACTACACAGAGAAGCCATTGAAATCCACAAGCATGTGGACAATTTCAACAGAAAGGAGGAAACCATGAAAATGAACAATCTGGCTACCAGTATTAAAAAACTTTAAAATTACAACAGCAAAACAACAGATAGGAAACAATCTGGAACATCTCATCACCTCTCAACAAAAGATTGCCCCAGGCACTGCCAGGCTATTGGATGCTAATCAAGGTGGTCAGTTGAAACATTCACACCTAGCTCCAGCAGACAAGAGTCCTTTGTCCCACCCTGGTCATTCCACAGATATATAAACCCAATTTTCCTAGTTCCAACAGACCTCACAACCTCTGAGGATGCTTGCCATAGATGCAGGCGAAACGTCAGGAGAGAATGCCTCTAGAACATGGCCATACAGCCTGAAAAAACCTACAGCAGCCCAGAATCATATATAAATAAATTACTAGTGGAGGCTTAGCTTTGATCTCATGCATAGATAAGGTAAGTCTTGATCACAGTAGTATAGTACTGGTATAGTAGTGTGTGAAATAAAATCTCACACATGCAATATGTGCATTATTGTGTGTGCTGTCAAGTCACATGTCAACTCAAGGTGGCCACATGGGTTTCCTAAGGCTGTTTTAGGCAAGACATATGAACCTACTTAGGTAAGGTAGATGGTGACTCAATTCATCTTTGATAAATGCTAGGACTTTAATCTGGGTGATTTTTTTTCAACATTTTCTGCCTTGATATTTTGAGATATACGACTGTGTGGAAGGACCCTTAGAAGGACTGTCAAGGATCAAGACTCTATCTGAAGGGGACTCTGTTTGAAAAAAAAACCTAGTCCAAATCTGGATTAAAGACCATGAATTGTGGATCCACAAATTTGATATCCACAGTTTTGCTTACCTGTGTGTCAAAACATATTCTCCGCAGAATTTGTGGGTCTCTACAGGTCCTCTAATGTAATGATTTGGTATGCCAAGTATTGTCAAAATGTAACATTCACTATTATCCACAGAGTATGTGTGTGTATCTTAGAACAGCCCCCCCCCCCAACAGAAAAATTACAGGGTTTTACTGTAAATTAGTGTTTCCAAATCTACAATTTTATGGAAATTGACATTTTATATAAATTGAATTGTCAGTTGAAACATTCACACCTAGCTCCAGCAGACAAGAGTCCTTTGTCCCACCCTGGTCATTCCACAGATATATAAACCCATTTTCCTACTTCCAACAGACCTCACTACCTCTGAGGATGCTTGCCATAGATGCAGGCGAAACGTCAGGAGAAAATGCCTCCAGAACATGGCCATATAACCCAGGAAAAACCTACAACAACTCAGTGATTCCAGCCATGAAAGCCTTCAACAATAAATTGACATCTTTGGCTCTCCTTTCGAGTGTTGCGTCTTTCTGGTTATGGCCCCATTGACCTTTTGATACTTCTGACACATCACAAAGTGTTTCTTTTAAAGGCTGACTTCCAGCTTCCTTGGTTTGCAACATAACAGTGTATTTTTAGTGGTAAGCTGCAGTGTTAATAACCACACAGCAGTTATCAAGAAAGCAATAGCTGAATGAGTAGGCTTTATCTTCCTCCCCTGGCTTCCCTTTCAGTTCTGGGGCCAGTGAAACATTCACAGCCTTGTCAGGAGTGATGTTTTTACAGGAAAGGCTGGCTGTGAGCAGATTTCTATAGAACAAAAATGTTTGCAGCTCATGAATTGTCAGAAGAAGAGAATAAAGAAATAGAACCAGGGGGTAAACATGACTTTTCCTGGTATATATTTGGAAGACACATATTACTCTTAAGAGTAAACTTTGAGTTTCTGAGGGGCACTGGGTTCTTCTGATCTCCAGAGTCAAATACAGTTTGATCTGTAGATCCATGTGTTCTGTATCTATAAACTCAACCAGCCACATCTCAAAAATGTTTGGAAAAAAAATCCAAAAAAGCCAATTTTGACTTTGCTACACATTGTGTAGGCAAACCCTACTGCTCTCACGATTCAACACATCCTCAAGGTCCTTCCAGGGGAAGGGGGTTCCTGGGACCAAATCCCAGTGGATACTGAGAGCCCACTGTACTTTTTCTATGTCAGAGTTTCTCAAACTACTCCTCCAGATGTTTTGGACTTCAGTTTCCACAATTCCTAACAGCTGGTAAGATGGCTGGGAATAATAATAATAATAATAATAATAATAACAACAACAACAACAACAACAACTACATTTTATTTGTACCCCGCTACCATCTCAATTTCTATAAAGTAAAGAGTAGAGACATCACACTGGCAACAAAGATCCGCCTAGTCAAAGCCATGGTATTCACTGTAGTAACCTACGGATGTGAGAGCTGGACCTTAGGGAAGGCTGAGCGAAGGAAGATCGATGCTTTTGAACTGTGGTGTTGGAGGAAAGTTCTGAGAGTGCCTTGGACTGCGAGAAGATCCAACCAGTCCATCCTCCAGGAAATAAAGCCCGACTGCTCATTGGAGGGAAGGATACTAGAGACAAAGTTGAAGTACTTTGGCCACATCATGAGGAGACAGCAAAGCCTAGAGAAGACAATTATGCTGAGGAAAGTGGAAGGTAAAAGGAAGAGGGGCCAACCAAGGGCAAGATGGATGGATGGCATCCTTGAAGTGACTGGACTGACCTTGAAGGAGCTGGGGGTGGGTGATGGCCG